CAGCGCACGCGACTTTTATATTAGTCACACGCGACTTTTATATTAGTCACACGCGACTTTTATATTAGTCACTTCCAATTGCCTACTTTTTTGCACCACGTACGGATGCCGTTGACTTACTAGACTATTTACTTTTGAAAATCAAATAATTACTGCTCTATTTCAGATCATGACTGTTTTCTGGAGTTCTGTGTGAAGTTAACATTCATCTAGAAGTTCTGCCAGCAAGGGTTACATTGATTAACAATCCATTCACGTCTTTAGTGACTTCACAAAAAAGGATATACATTTAAACATACTATTATTATATTTTGCCCAGAGACATGACAGAAAGTATGTCCGTGAAAAGTTTTTTTTATTTTCTTCACACAGTAATTTAAAAAATAATTACTTGATAAAGTATCACAAACATTTACTGGTGGTATCAGCTAGCTCTTCTTCTGACTCGCAGCTTGTTTATGAAGGCGTGATCTAATCTTGAGGGGCATACATTTGCTTTTCACTCTTATAGTTTGTCTGCGATCTTCCAGAACCAAGTAGTATACCAGGAGGACACGCAACATAATGGAAAGGACTCTTAATGAAACTCCATAGTTAAGGGGTTTGACAATTTTACTGGATCCTGGTCGCTAGTCAGTTTGCTAGAAAATTTTTGAGGACTAAATCCTGGGTTGACTTTGGTCCTAGCATGCTGTCAGAAACGTCACAAATTCCTCTATCAGATCACGACTGTGCTTAAAATAATGTCACTGTCTGCACTCTGTGACTGTCATCAATGTGTCAATGCCACCTCTGTGTCACTGTTAGCACTTGGTCACTGTTAGCACTGTTTAACTGTTAGCACTGCGTTACTGTTAGCACTGTGTAACTGTTAGCACATTTCACTATGTATTAGCACTGTGTCGTCTTAGCTCTTTCTCTGTCAGTCACTATTAGAACCAAGTTACTTGTAGCACTGAGTCACCTTTAGTACTTTTAGTCACGGTTTGCACTCTGTCAACTTCAATATCACTCCCAGCACCCCCCCCCCCCTCCTCACTCCCTTCACAGTTTGCGTGAGCTCCAGCACAGGGTGACTTCTCACCATTTTGTCCCTTTTTGCGGTGCTCTTTTTCCACACTCTCAGCACAGCACTGTAGCACCATTGTTGCCAGCACTGAACTCCTGCACCGTTATTCTCCTTGATGACATGTTTATTATGTTTGGCTTTACTTTATATATCGATGAATGTATCGATGATGATGATGCTATCTGCGTCCATTGTTGTGCATTTTAGACAGCCTCATCCTCATAAAAAACACCTCATTATTATTATTATTATCATCACCTACATGAACAACACATTATGCGTTATGGCTTTTTTTGTCTTGCAATGAACTCATTCCTCATCCATTTTTTTAATGCACATTATGGACGCTCTAAAGGTATTTCAGGAACACCATATTAATGTAAACTTTTTGATGGTACGGATTTGATGATAGAAAAAAATTAATTCATCAGTCCGAACAAAGTACATGTACGAGTATACATTTACATGTACATACGTACATGACAATAACATTTAACAATGACAGTAACAATTGCAAATTTTAGCAATCTCATACATCCCTTTCAATGTGAAATAACAGCTAACTTTGCTGCTAAAATTATACAGTGGCGATGGATATTTTTAATTTATCACTTTTTATTTTTTATTTTTTTTTTACTTCTTTCTTTGTTGTTGTTGTTGTTTTGTTGTTTTTTTGTTTCTCTTTATTTTGAAACAGCACAATGAAAATTACTTATTGAAGCATGCATATTAATTACACAACCCAAAGAAGCGCCTGGAGTTATTGTTTTTCGCACCACTTCAGTTCCTTTTTTGTTCTGATTCACTGAATTGAATGGACGTTTTGCTTTCAGAAAAGTTAACTCCTTCACCTGTGAACTTGGCAGGTAAGATAATCCATCATCTGTGCTGTCCCCTGCCTAATAACACTGGTTAATTGAAGAAGGGGTAATGGTCAACTGCAATGGAAAGGGATTTCCGAACTCGATAGTTTTAGGGGGAAAAAGTAACATCATCATCATCATGAAGAAATTACTCCTCGAAATAAAGTAGAATTTAGCCGCATCATTATCTCCTTGTTCAGACGTTTTCATATTTTTGCCCTGGCAGAATTCTAGAAATGTCCTAAACAAATTATAAGAATGAACAGATAGAACTGGTTCCACAAGGCTTTTATGAAACCATCTTTCTTTCCATAAAAAAAAGAGATCCATTTAAAAAAGAGAACCAAAGAGAAATAACATTTTAATCTTTGAAACGGGTTCGCTTTAATCATGTAGATAAAGTATAAACAATGGGTGAGATATTGTGCTGGGGGAAGTCAAAGTTCTGGAACTTCGTTTATAAGTTTTAAAATAGAAACAATTGCATTTATCATACCTCAAATTGAAGACTGAGCATCAGAGGATCAGATTTCTATTTCTCAACATCGTCTCCATCTCGTTCAATAGCCACTGTCTACCTTTTGATAAGTCAACATAATATGATACCATGCCAGCTTCGTAGAGCCAAGTAGGTTGGGTTGGTCTTTTAGCCAATATGTTGCAGTTGCCTTTTGAAATAGGCTAATCAGGGTCCATTTCCCCTTTGCAAAATACGTATGAAGCACCTCTAGACACGTAAAAACGCGTGAATCAGGCCGGAGGGGTGATAGTGAGAGTTATTGCAATTAGAGTTTGTCCAATCGGACATCCAGTGACAGTGTCATAGTTTCTTCGCATAGTATTACTTGAGAAAGCTAAAGTGAATTATTTATCATTCCCGGAACTGCATTAAATGTGTTTTCATGAACTATAGACAGATATGTCACTCTTTCTTTGATGAGACTGGGTGCCGAGTTTTATTTGCCTCGTTTTCCGTATGGTGAGAAGTTAAATGATTTCGCTCAATACAGAACTTATGCTCAGTGTCAAAGAGATAGATTCAGACATCTCTAAAGTCAGAACAATCATGTTGCCATTCTGGGTGTAAGAAAAATCAGTTGTACATTTACAAACCTGCATTTTAAAGATAAATTCCCGAGGAAATAGTATACATGTACGTGTATTTCTTAATAAGCAAAACGATGAAATCGATTCAGAGACTGAATGCCACCTTGCTGGTATTAATACTGTCACGAACATGCCTCTCTGTCGTGATCAGACTGGTATGTGATGCTTGCGACCGTAATTCAAATACTGTTAAATGCAGTCTTGAAATCTATTTATTCGCGGATGTTTTAGTTCCAGCTTTCCACCCAGTTCTCATGGATATGAACACTAAATAGTCACCATAAAAAAGAAAGAAGCATTATACCCTGTCCATAGAGTTAACGTACAGTTTCCGACCACTTTGTCGTGTTATTCTGCGAGGGAAAGTGTTTGTTTAAGGGGTTGCGTGTCTCGAATACGGACAGGTCGTGTGTTTTTTTTCATATTGACCAATTTGATGTCCGCTTGGCTGAATTATATTTGTTCGACATTTTTGGGGAAATTGGTGCAAAGATGACTAAGCTTATAAACTTTCCAAGGGATTAAACTGGTCTGTATGAAACGACACGCTGAACTTACTTCCAATTATTACGATGTCTTTACCGAATAAAGCAGGAAATTTGATTATAAACTGCTGATAATTACACCATCCCAAATGTCTAACCAAAAGCATGCATGCTTGCACGTGCTATAAGTGCAGTCGCACCATTTTTTTAAAAAAATCATCCATTTTGTTTTTCCTGCTCATTTGAGGCTCTACGATGTTTCAGATGTATGCACAATATGAAATATTCATAAATGACTTTTTGGTGGCAAATACAGCAAAACAACAGCTACAGATATAGTATTTGTCATCCTAACTTTTAACAGGTATTTTATATTTTATTTAATGCACTACACCGTTGTGTTATGCAAATCAAACAATAGTTGAAAATTGTGGTATGAATACAGAGGTGGGGACATTTTTTCAACGTGTGTTATTGCTGTGAGTTGTTTTGTTGTTTTTTTTCTTCGCATTTGGCAAGTAGCCCTTCATAATAATATACTTCATTGCATTACTCCCCATTGCGCAGTTCACTCGCTTGTAGCTGAGCCCATAATAATGACGTCAGAGTACTGATTCTTTTGGAACACCCTGTAGGCCGTTTTTTTTTAAAGATTAATAGAGGCAAGGTAACAATGAACTTTGTCTGTTTTAATATCCTGACTTCTACAGAGGGCTCATGGTGGAATACAAAAATATACTTTGTACAACGGTGCATGTAAACACTGTGTATAAATGATAATAATATGACTATGCTTGCATACATATTATTCTCAGAGGGATATTAAGTTAATGCATTCAGAACTGCAGTGTGTTTGATTTATTTGAACCCAACAACGTGCCCCATGTCCAATACATAACTCCCGGAGCATGTGCTTTGCTTTTTTGTCTTTGTCCGATGCCGATAACCTTAACAAGAACTCTTTCCCACTGTAGGCCAGGATAGGGCGGACATTGTGTTCGCTGTCCACTTCAACCCAAGAGGCAGCCAGGCCGACTTTGATCGCCTCGTCTCCTTCCTGCAGTCTTTGATCGCCACGTCAGACGTCGACGGCAAAAAAGTCAGATTTGGCCTGTACATTGATGGGGGGATCGTCAAGTTCAACTTGAATAAGTGAGTCTTTTGGAAAGATACAGTTTTTTCGTTTTCCTTGCCCATTTGTATGAGATTGACGCACTCTGATTAGTAGGAAAAAAATGCCTAGGATGATTGTGTCCAGTAGCGTTTTACATACCTACTTAGTATAACATGTAACTGTTGCAGGTAGAGATTCAAGGGATATTAGAAAGATACCCTTATTGTGGTGAGATAAGGGTAGAAAAATTTACAGATGAGGGATGGGTAGAAGCTAAGAGAGAGGACATTGTTTTTGTGTGTTTGTTCATTTTTTTTTAAAAGACGTAACAGACACGCACGTCAAGTCTCCAGTCCGAAGGA